GATTGGGAGCAATGGGAGAGACCTGGAGGTGTCACTTCCAGGGTTAGAAGTGATGGGGAGGTGGCACTTCCAGGACTGGGAATGACAGGAGAGGTCTGGGGGGGGGTCACTCCCAGGATTGGGAGCAATGGGAGAGACCTGGAGGTGTCACTTCCAGGGTTAGAAGTGATGGGGAGGTGGCACTTCCAGGACTGGGAATGACAGGAGAGGTCTGGGGGGGGGTCACTCCCAGGATTGGGAGCAATGGGAGAGACCTGGAGGTGTCACTTCCAGGGTTAGAAGTGATGGGGAGGTGGCACTTCCAGGACTGGGAATGACAGGAGAGGTCTGGGAGGAGTCACTGCCAGGATTGGGAGCATTGGGAGAGGCCTGGAGGTGTCACTTCCAGGGTTGGAAGTGATGGGGAAGTGGCACTTCCAGGACTGGGAATGATAGGAGAGGTCTGGGAGGGGTCACTCCCAGGATTGGGAGCATTGGGAGAGACCTGGAGGTGTCACTTCCAGGGTTGGAAGTGATGGGGAGAAACCTGGAGGTGGCAATTCCAGGACTGGGAATGATAGGAGAGGTCTGGAGGGGGGTCACTTCCAGGATTGGGAGTGATGGGAGAGACCTGGAGGTGTCACTTCCAGGATTGGGAATGATGGGAGAGGTCTGGAGGTGTCACTGGGAGAGACCCAGAGGTGGCAATTCCAGGAGTGGAAGTGATGGGGAGGGACCTGGAGGTGGCACTTCCAGGACTGGGAGCACTGGGAGAGGGCTGGAGGTTGCAATTCCAGGGTTGGAAGTGATGGGGAGACACTTGGAGGTGGCGATTCCAGGAGTGGGAATGATAGGAGAGGTCTGGGAATGATAGGAGAGGTCTGGGAGGGGGGTCACTGCCAGGGTTGGAAGTGATGGGAGAGACCTGGAGGTGGCACTTCCAGGGTTGGAAATCATGGGAAGTGACCTGGAGGTGTCACTCCCAGGACTGGGAGCATTGGGAGAGACCTGGAAGTGTCACTTCCAGGACTGGGAGCACTTGGAGAGACCTGGAGGTGTCACTGGGAGAGACAGGGAGCACTGGGAGAGACCTGGAGGTGTCACTGGGAGAGACTGGGAGCACTGGGAGGGACCTGGAGGTGTCACTGGGAGAGACTGGGAGCACTGGGAGAGCCCTGGGGGTCCCTCCCTCCCCCTGCTGTGCCCACCCCTCTCCCACCCCCACGGATCCGGAGCCTCCCAAACTCCTTCCCTGCCCTTCCCAGAGCCTCCCCTCCTTCCCTGGGACGACATTCCCGGCTGGAATCGCGTCCCCAGCGTCCCCCTCCCCCCTCAATCCCGCTGTCTTCCAGCTTCCAGAGGTTCACACCAACAGCTGTGACAACATCTCCCAGTTTTCCGTGGACAGCATCACGAGCCAGGAGAGCCGGGAGCCCGTGTTCATCGCTGCCGGGGACATCCGGTCAGGAATTCGGGATTGGGATCGGGACTGGGATTTGGGATTGGGATTTGGGATTGGGGCGGGCCAGAGGTGTCACCCTCATTCCCTCTGGGAACATCCGGTCAGGAATTCGGGATTGGGGATCAGGATTTGGGGTTGGGGTGGGCCAGGAGTGTCACCTTCATTCCCACCGGGGACATCCGGTCAGGAATTCGGGATTGGGGATTGGGATTGGGATTTGGGATTGGGGCGGGCCGGAGGTGTCACCCTCATCGCCGCCGAGGACATCCGGTCAGGAATTTGGGATCAGGATTTGGGATTTGGGATTGGGGTGGGCCCTGGCTGCACTCCCAGGGGTGTCACCCTCATTCCTGCTGGGGATATCTGGTCAGGGAATTCGGGATTTGGGATTGGGATTTGGGATCAAACTTGGCCCTGGCTGCGCTCCCAGAGGTGTCACCCTCGTTCCCACCAGGGACATCCGGTCAGGGAATTTGGGATTGGGATTTGGGATTGAGGGGAAACTTGGCCCTGCCTGCACTCCCAGAGGTGTCACCCTCATTCCCACCAGGGACATCCAGTCAGGGAATTCGGGATTGGGATTGGGATGGGCCCTGGCTGCACTCCCAGAGGTGTCACCCTCATTCCTACTGGTCTCAGCCTTGGGAGCAGCTGGAATTGTCTCCCTGGACAATGGGAGAACCTTGGGAGCAGCTGGAATTGTCTCCCTGGACACCTTGGGAGCAGCTGGAATT